CTGAAATGTCATTAGGATCTAGAGAATATTCCAGTCTTCAGGAGAAGAAACCAGGGGATGTATCCCCACCAGATGTTGGAAAGTGGGGGATGAGTTATCCACCTTGTTAGCTGAGGGATATACAGAGCTGGAAAGGCAAAGAGGAATATGTACAATAAAGCTGCAAATTCAACATATAACTAACTACAGCCTGATTATTTATTTTTTCGCTTGTTTGTTTATTGGTTGCAATTATAAACCATCATTACTTAAATTGGTAGAGACAGTCATGCCACAAGAAAGTGCAATTCTGGCTTCCATTTCTTTCTTGCAGCTTGTTGCTTTGAGGTGCAACTTTGCTGATGTTAATCCCATGTCTGGGATGGGGATGCAGAGTCCCACTCTCATTCTGATAAATTGCTGGGGCTTTTTTTTGGGAAGGATGCAACTGGGTACATGCACTTGGCTCTGCCAAGGACCACTGCTTGTGCCTCTGGAAGATGCTCCATTTGCACAGGGGTGGGCTGTGGGTCAGGCAGGGAATAGAGGGTGCAGCCCTGAATATCCCTCTGACTATTCCGAGAGAAGAGTTGATTTCCTCAGCTTGGCAGGGCTTTTGCTTTGCTCTGCTGGAGGGCTTTACCTGCAAATTACTGGCCCTTCTGGTCCTGGTCTAGCAGAACACTTAGGCTCACACTTAATTTGAAGCTGTAAATGTTTTTACTGTGGGACTTCACAGGGTTTAAATTTGGGATGTGCTAAATCATTGTGCTGAACAGGGTTGAGAAAGTTCCTTTCCTGTAGCTTATCAACTGTAATCACATTTTTTAAAAAAGATCATGTAATGAGACAGCAAACTTACCAAAAAAGTTGTTGAAAATTAACACATACACAGCACCACTTTGCTGTGCAATCTAGCCAGAAGGCTGGTTGCTGTTCCAACTAATCCTGAACCTGTATGATTTTTAACAGTGTCCACCAGCACTTGCACTTGCTAATGCTTTACACATGTAAGTTGTTTATCTGGGTGGCTTGAATTATTCACATGAGACTCTTCCTTGAGGAATGTTC